GTTTATTTTGTGCCACATCTCATCCTCCCGTGGGGGGCTCTGAAAATTCTTATTCCAGTGGTGCCCAAGGACTCGACTCCCACTAACAATTCTTCGATGAAACCTACATTGTCATTTCGTTCCCTGAATGCCATCTGTATGTGCTGGTAAATGTTAACTAGCCTATACCACCATGTAAAATGAGTGTGTCTCTCTGTTTTGCTCTTATTCAGTCTCAGAGGTTTCCCTGCCTGGCTTTCTCCTGCCTCCCTAGTCTACCACCAATGGGTTTCATATAATTTTCCTTAGGTCTCTTCCTTTGATTTTAATGTTTAAGATTAGCTGTAAAATTGCCATTCTCCAGAGCATTTTCTGAACCCATTACGATTTTGCTTCCTGGAAATTATCAGCTTGATTCATACAAACACATAAAAATTCTCTACAGGTCTGGACATTACTTATTATACATCAACAACTGAATATTATACATTATTTCCATTGCTTGAAATGACAATTTTAACATATATTGAATTCTTATGTATATTTATATCTGTTTCTGTTCTTTTTGGAAGCCAGCACCACACTTTTAAGTTATTTTTATAATTATACACATTTGTGATATAATTTACACATTTGTAATTATACACATTGGTGACAAAGTACCTGGTTTCAAGTTCTTTATTTAACATCCCCAAAAGAATATGTATTATTCTTTAAGGTTATACATTTTCGGGTAAGGTTAAAATTATTTGTCAAGTAGAACAAAGCCAAACTCTTCATCAAAACTTCTTATTGTGATTTTGATTGAAATTAAATTTTATAGAATTTTCTGTAACAGTAAATTCAAATATAAAACAATAGAATTTTTCCTGATGCAAAAGGGGAAAAGACCATGGCTCCTCTCTTTTCTTAGAGTATTTCCTTGAGAAAATAGTAAATATTTTCTTTGTCCTTTTCATATATATGTAAATCTTTTAAAAAGTGAATAAGCCTGATAATTTTTACAGCCCCAGTAAACCTCCTTCTAAAGGCCTTGAAGATATGTCTTTGAAATGTACATAGCAGAGATAATCACTCTGTTTACCAGGTGGATTTAAGGTGAACTATGTGTAGCAAATGGACCGTCCTCTTGAATGGGATATATATATATATATATATTAGAGGCCCAGTGCACAACATTCGTGCATGGAGGGAGGGTCCCCTCAGCCAGGCCTGCATCCTCTCACAATCTGGGACCCCTCAGGGGGTGTCTGACTGCTGGTTCAGGCCCAATCCCTGTGGCAGTCGGAAATCTCTCTCTTAATCCAGGATAGCTAACTCATTGCCCCTAATCGCCTCTGCCTGTCTGATCACCCCTGTTTGCCTGCCTGCCTGACCAACCCCTAACCACCTAAGCCTCGTCCCCAGCCGCCAAGGCTTCATCCGAAAGGATGTCGAGAAGATAGTTCAGCTGTCTAATTAGCATATTATGCTTTTATTATTATAAATATATACCTGACTATATATAAAAGTGTGAATTCTGTCTTTGCAAATTCATTAGCAAATGACCTGGGATGCCTATCACAGTTTCCTTTAATGCTTATTCAATAATAAAAAGTTTTCTTATTTTCTTTATCTGTGAAGACGATATTTTGGGTTGACAAGAGACATTTTTAATTATTTCCCCAAAACCTCTCATCTAGAAAACTGGGGTGTGTGTGTGTGTGTGTGTGTGTGTGTGTGTGAGTCTGCACCCGCACATACATATACAGGGTGGGGCAAAAGTAGTTGTTTGTATGGAAAAAGTGCAATAATTTACAAATAATAATACAAAAATAAACTGTTTCCCGTGGTTACAACTGTGAGCTTACTTTTGCCCCACCCTGTTTTACACACACTCAAATGTATGTACATATTTCCTCTTTATAAATTGTTTTAAAATTCATTTTATTATAAAAACTTAATATTTTTGTAACTACTTTGAATGGAAACTCATGTCTACTGCTCACACAAGAGTAAATTGATGTCATAAAGTTCCTGACTAGGAAATCAGCATATGGTCCTTAGTGAAATGACGGTCGAAATACTTTAGTATACCATTGGGATAAAACTAGTAAAATTCTGATAAGAGTGTACACCTAATTAAGCGTTTTTCCCCTCTTTGTAAGTGGCTTGTGTTTTTTAGCTTATCCAAAGCTTTTCTTTATTACAAGTGTCCAGTATCATTTGGATAGTTTTGAAAGCTAGCAGTCCTAAGACAAAGCCAGCTGCTGCAAGGTATTATTCTTGGAACGCGATACACTTGGTTCCAAGTTCTTTGTTTAGCTACGAATATTCACTGCAGAGTCCCAGGCGGTTCTAACAGGCACCACATGGCCACGGGCAGTTCCAACATGGACTGTAGGACCGTGGGCAGTGCTAATGGCCAGCGGGCGGGCAATGATAATGACCAGCGGGCGAGCAGTCTAATGGCCAGCGGGAAGGCAGAACTAATGGTCAGCGCAGAGGCAGTGCTAATGGCCAGCGGGCGGGCAGTGTAATGGTCAGCGCAGGGGCAGTGCTAATGGCCAGCGGGCGGGCAGTGTAATGGTCAGCGCAGGAGCAGTGCTAATGGCCAGCGGGCGGGCAGTGTAATGGTCAGCGCAGGGGCAGTGCTAATGGCCAGCGGGCGGGCAGTCTAATGGTCAGCGCACAGCAGTGTTTGACGGCCAGCCCGCCTGGGCTGAGCTGTCAGCAGCTGTCAATGGACAGGAAGGAGGCCCGGCCCCTAGAAACCCCTCGCAGCTGCAGACGCTCAGGCCCCGCACGCCAGGCCCTGACGTCACCTGGAGGGGAGTCGCCGGAGGCTCGGAGGCCGCGGGTCCGAGTGGACGCGGGCGCGGGCGGCTCCTGCGCACTCGGACCCTCAGCTTGGCATCGCCATCTTCCGTGGCGCCGCGGGGTCCCCGGCTCCGGCGCGGCTGTCGGCGGCATCTGCGGCGGAGGGAGCGCCAGGTGCGTCCGGGCCTGGCTGGCGGTCAAGGCCGGGCGGGCGGCCTCTCTGCGGGGCGCGGGGCCAGAACCAGGGCCGCCGCCCCTCCCTCCGCACCCTGCACCCCCCTCCCCGCTGCCCGCTGCCTCCCAGGGGCGCTGTGGGGAGCCGCAGGGCCGGGGGAGGCCGGGGTCCGCTCATCGGGCCGGGGCGGCGGCGGGACCGGGAGGCCGGGGTCCGCTCACCGGGCCGGGGCGGCGGCGGGACCGGGAGGCCGGGTCGGGCTGAGCGCTGTGCAGGCGGGAAGGCAGAGCCATCGCAGCCCGGGCAGCGGCCCCGCGCGGGCGTCTGAGCCCCCAGCCCGGCGCCCGCGGCCACGGGCAAGTTCGTCTCGGGACGGTGAGCTCGCGTCTGTGAGCTGGCGGTACCAGCCTCCCGGCTGTTTTACAAGGCTTAGTGTGATGACTCGGTAACGACGGGCTGCTTTTGTTATCACCGGGGGTGCCACTCTTTTCATGGTTGGCTCATTCGATCATCTCCATCCTCATACCCATCCTTTCCCATCGCTATCAGTCTCCTCCATTTCAACAAACCCCAGCGCTAACGGTTCGGGAGAGCCATTGTTTGCGCAGCCTTGACCATGGGCTTTGGGTTCTATTGTTTGCTCTTTGGCTCATGCTGTGTCCCTCACTAACATTTGCATTGGGCACAGCGGTTGTCCCAGCACTTAATCAGCGGGTAGTGGATTAGGACAACCTAATTTACCATGCAGTGTTCCATTTGCAGCCCCTGTGGGGCTTCCTCTGAATTCTTGTGCCAAAACTTTGTAGCTGCTTTCCCCTACCCGTCCCTGTTCTCACAAAGCTGTTTAAACAAGTACGTGGAAACCATAACAGGAGCTCTGACGTTTAGGTTTTATGGGAGAAGCTGCAAATCCTACCCCGTCGGGAGGGGAAGTGAGGCAGACATTGTTAAAAGATGAAAATGCAGTTTCATCTTGCTCCACGGTATGGAAGTGATGTCACCTGCCTGCCATTGGCTGTGCATCTGGCTCACGGAGCGTCCGCCAAGCACCAGGCCCGTGGGAGGGGGTTCCCGCTGCACCCGGGAAAGATGTCGTGGCGTCTGGTACCTTTTGCTGCTACACTAAAGTACCTCGTCGGGGATGATGGGACCAAATGGTTATTTTAGAAGTTAGATGTGTGTCATTGTCAACATATTAGATGGCCTTGTCAGGATTCATTACTGCCTAATTAAACTTTACCCCAGGCCCAGCCCAAGTTTGGAGGGACTGTCTGGATTTGTGGCTCTGGGTCAAGACTTACAGAATCAGAACAGTACATGGAGGGTTGTTCAAAATTATCTGCTTCTCCTTCATGTTAAAGATAATGGTGTTGAAAATAAGGCAATCCCTGGGTTTGTTAATAGCAGAGCCCAGCTTGGGCCAGAACCTCCAGGTCCACTACAGTTAAGTCAGCACAAGGTTCTTGGAAAAGTGATTTTTAAGAAACTGCAGTTTAGGGAGAAGAAACATCTTATTTTTGAGATCCTTTGAAGACTTTCTGAACTTGTGAGGTTTATAGTAGTAATAGAAAAAATCATTATGACCTGTAATGTAAACACTTTTCCATATCAAATATTTCCTTCATCGTCATTTGTAATACCAACACAGGGGTCCATGCTTTGGATATATATTATGCACCTTGCTTAGCTAATCTAATATTGGATATTTATGTTTTCAATTCTTTTGTGGTATTTGGTAAATAGACACATGATTTTCAAAGCAGTCAGTAGGAAAGAAATGTTTAAGTTCACTCAAAAATGTCCCAAGATTATCAAGATTTTTTTCAGAGTCACCAGTGGACAGATGGGTATTCCTTTATCATGGCCCCTCCTATTCCTTCTCATGGTTCCAAGGAATGTTTTCCAGAGGCTTACTTTTTACTAAACTGTTGTCTGGAAACTTCTGACAGGTCATTCCCAAGCTTCAAGATAAGTCTCATGACTTCTGTCTTACAACATTCCTTATTCTGGCTGCCTAGTTTCTGTCCCTTCCCCAAAGCAGCCGAAAATGGACAAACCCCAGGTGAGTCATTTACTTAGTCCTTACTTTGTTTCACTGTGTGTGTGTTCAATGATTTTTATGAAATAGGGTTCTTTTATTAAATTTAAAAAGTAAATAGTTTAAAATCATCTTTAGGGAAAATACTGTTTGACTAGCACAGCAGTTCCCAAGACCTTTTCAAGGGATCTGTGAGTGAACATGTATTATTAAAATGCAAAATCCAATTTACACTGTTGACATTCGCACCTGTGGTGAGGAGATTGCTGCCTGGTTGGCATGAATTAAGACAGTGACACCAATGCCATTGCATCCCTCTGCAGTGTACTCACCTTTACTTACGGATGTCTTCAATGAAATCGTCAAAATCAGTTTTATTAAATTTTGACCCGTGGGTACACATCTTTTTAACATTCAGGGAGACAAAATAGGAAGTTCACATAAAATACTTCTGCTGCACCTGGACTATGAAGGTTGGTTGTCTTGAGGGGGAAAAAGGACTGTGGGGCTGTTTGATTTGTGAGCTCATCTAGCCACTTTTCATGGAATGCTATTTTTCCTTGGAAGAGCACATGGCAGGCAGCCTGGTTATTCAGACGGGTATTTAACAAACATTTTCTCAAAAGTGAGTGAAGTGAGCCTATCACTGAAAACATTTGTCTCTATTTGTTTCCAATGTTAAATTTAAGCTTTAAGTGAAAATGAGAATTTTGGAAAACTTGTATCCCTCACTATGAACTTGACAACTTCTAATGCTTAAAGACTTTTCTGATGAGATTGGTGAGGATACTAACAAATGTGGTATTATACACTTATATGCAGTATGTAATATTAGAAAAGATAACACATTATATATATATATATATATATATATATATATATATATATATATAAGCCTAATATGCAAATTATCCCATCATGCAGGCACTTGACCGGGAGTTTGATCTCTCGCTATGACATGTGCTGACCTCTAGGGGGCACATGTGGAACATGGCGGGTGTCAGCCCTGTGTGCTGTGGTCCCACCTGGTGCTTGCAACTGCTGCCAGTGCTGGCCCAGCCCCAATTGTCCCAAAGACAGCAACTGGCAGCAGCAGCAGCAAGGGTGGGGCCACTGCTCCCAAGTGCTGAGGGAGCAGAGTGGGGGCTGCTGGCAGGTCCCAATTGTCCCTCAGGGCTTCTCCACCTCCCCCTGCTCACACCCACTGCAGGCAGACAGGACTGGGGGCTGCAGCAGGAGGGGCCAGGTGGAGGCACAGAGAATGGGCCAAGACCCACCCCTGTGTCCACCACAGCCTTACAACCCACAGTTCCTTTCAATGTGCACGAATTCATGCACCAGGCCCCTAAAATAATATAATAATGTATATTATATAATGATTAATTATATCAATCAACATTTGATTGGTATTTCTGATTTGTGTGCTCAGAGGCAAACTCAAGCAGTTTAACAGGACAGAGGGATACAGTGAAGTGAAGAACAGGGAGTAAGTTGGTTAGGGAATGCCCACTCTAAAAGTTAATACTCGAGGAAAGTTCTGAATTAAATAAGACAGAGAGCCAAGAAAAAATATAGCTGAAGAGCATTCTAGATAGGAGCAATAGCAAGTACATGCAACCCCAAGGCATGTTTCAGAAACAATATTTGGGACTTCAAAGCAAGAGAGAAGTGACTTAGGGGAAGCAAGATAAGAGGTAAAATCATAGAGGTAAAAGGAGCTAGAATATGTAGGAAGTTATAAGTTTGTAGAAAACATTGAGTTTTGATTTTATTTATTAGTTCATTAAAAAATATTTGGCCTGACTGGTATGGCTCAGTGGGTGAGTGTTGACCTATGAACCAAGAGGTTATGGTTCAATTCCTAGTCAGGGAATCTTCCCATGATTGCAGACTTGATAACACTGGGGGTGTGCAGGAGGCAGCTAATCAATGATTCTTTCTCATCGATGTTTCTCTCCTTTCCTCCCTGAAATCAATTAAAATATATTTTTAAAAATATTACATTTTTGATTCTATGGAATATAAATAATTATCAGAGGAATTTGTAGAGCCTCAAATAGTTCTATCGTTAAAAACTCAAGAATGAAAATAATTAGCATTATGGCTCTAGCCATTACCAAACCATATAAACACTACTAGTATATGAGTTACCCTCCCCCTCTCTCCCCGTAGTTATTAATTTCCAATTAGTCACAAAGATGCATTATTCTTCTTCCCCCAGTGCTGCTACTTGAATGTAAATATTTGTTGCTTACATGTGTCTCTAAATTTTCCAACACTCCATCTTTCTGATGTGCCATTTGCCTCTTCTATTTTAGTTTTATTCTAAACTACTAATCTCACATAACTCTAGTGGTTACATCTATCTCTTCAGTGATTCCCCATTATCCGTATTTGCATCTACAAAGCAAAAGAGTGAACATCCCAAAGAAGTCCACATAGTGTGAAATAGTAAAATATTGATTCATATTTTTTAATTGCACATGCTTTGATTTTTTTATTTTTTAGATATGTTTTTATTGATTTCAGAGGGGAAGGGAGAGGGAGAGAGAGTTAGGAACATCAATGATGAGAGAGAATCATTAATCAGCTGCCTCTTGCACAACCCCTCCTGGGGATTGAGCTCACAATCTGGGCATGTGCCCTTAACCGGAATCAAACCTGGAACCCTTCAGTCCCCGGGCTGAGGCTCTATCCACTGAGTCAAATCTGGTAGAGCAATACTTTTCTTTCCTATAAATACAAAAAAGAAAACTTGTCAACTTTAGTAAACAAATGAATAGATGTAAATATGTGATGTATAAGACATTAAGTGGGTATGCAAAATATATTTTAATGTCTCAAAAGACAAATTCAGAATTACTCCATGTTTTGTAACCTGAGTTGACTGTCACATAACTAATTTTGGTCCTACACTATGTTCTCATTATATTTTTTACTTGTAGTTTCCTAAATTTGCCATTTTTAATGCATATGTGCCTTTGCCAGTTCTGATTTCTTAATTCCTGAAGTTTGCATAGTCAATTGGACCACCTAATAAGATCTAACTTGATAATACAAAATATAAAACAACTTTTCCTATTTGTGACCATCTTACATCTTGTATACATCTACCTGCTGTGCAAATTGTATATTAAGAATTTACATTTTGCCCTAGCCGGTTGGCTCAACGGATAGAATATCGGCCTGCGGACTGAAGGGTCCCAGGCTCGATTCTGGCCAAGGGCATGTATCTTGGTTGCAAGCTCTTCCCTGGCCCTGGCCCTGGTTGGGGCTCATGCTGGAAATTAACAATCAATGTCTCTCTCTCATATCGTTGTTTCCCTTAGTCTTTCCCTTCCTCTTCCACTCTCTCTGAATATCAATCAAAAAGTATCCTTGGGTGAGGATTCAAAAAAAAAAAAAAGAAGACTTTACATCTTGGCCTCCCTGTCAGGATATAAGCTCATTGATAACAGAAATAGTTGTTTTCATTCATCGTTGTATCCCCAGATCCAGGTTTCCAATGATATCTCAGTAAATATATAGTGAACAAATACTTTGTCTGTGTGTAAAGCAGGGTACAGAGTAACAGTGTATCTTAACTTGCTAGGGTAAATTCTATAGTTAGCACATTAAAAGCTAGTTTACATGTCTTTTCAATGCTACTCTATTCTGATCACTTCAAAATAGAGCTGAAATATGTTGTTACAGGGATCAGTAACATTCAAGGATGTCATTGTGGAATTCACCAAGGAGGAGTGGAAATTACTGGATGAAGATCAGAAGGCCCTGTACAAGGAAGTGATGCGGGAGAACTACCGTCACCTGGTCGCAGTGGGTGAGAAAAACTGCCCCCTTTGTGACTCCTAGTAATTTGCATTTTCTTTCCCAGCTGTAGAACATGTAAGGTATCTGTAGGTTTGAATAATACTAATATTTTTCAGGGGTCAAAGATGATGAGTCCATTTTGGGTACCAGAAATAATATTTGTGTCTCCACCCTCCCAATTGAAAAAAAATCTAACCTTACCAAGCCTAGGAGGACCTTCATTGTTCTGCTCCGAAAACTACTTTTGGTTCTCCTGAGTCCCTAAATTCCAAGCAAGTTCTGTTTTCTCTATCTCTTTCATTCATAGGTTATTTTGTAAATAAATCAAATGCAGTTTTGAAGTTGAAACAAGGAAAGGAGCCATGGATATTAGAAGTAGAGTTTCCACTTCAGAACTACACTGGTGAGTGAGCAGTCAGAGCCCTGGTGATGAGTAGTGAGGTTGTTGGTGCCTTTTGCCTTTTGAAATATTTTTCAGGAATCATTTTTTTTAAGTGCCCTAGAGGTCTGGAAATGGATAAGGATGTTTGATCAGTATTATGTAAGTAACACAAATCACACCTCCAATTTTTATTCTCTTCACTGAAATTCCCCCCTGGGTTCAACATTTTTATGTTTACCTATCTTTCCTATATACTAACCTTGACTTAAACTTTTTTTTTTACTCTTTGTCATCGACGTATGCAGCTATAATCAATCCTAAAGTGTTTATGACTCTCGCTTATACATTTTTTCAAATGCCATTTCCTTCCTTTTATTAACAACAAATGCCTTCCCATGTATGTTAGCTGTTCACTAGATATTTTTTGAAAGATTCCGTTTCAGTTAACATGAGACACACTCTGTCCTCTGCCCTGTGTAGCAACTTCTGCTAGGGCTTCGCTTATCTAGACCAACGCTTTTTTTTTTAGGCTAAGAACTCCTAAAATTGATGTCTCCAGTACCTTTATTTTATGTGTATTTTGGTACCATATCTTACCATCCTATAGGATAGATCCACTGATCTAAATTCCTTATCAGTGTTGAAAGCTAATTTTTAATTTAAATCCTCATAGTACTTGTTTAATGCTGCAAACATACATTGCTGCTAGTCTATCATGGTAAACTTACACTGGCTCACAATTACAAAACACAGCTAAGTTAATATTCTGTCAGGAACTAATCTAGCTCTTTCTCGCCTACTACATCTTGTTTCTCCTCATGACTCCCCAAGCACATGCTAATCATTACTTCAGTTAATCTCTAAGTATCTTTCATAAATAGAATCTTATTTCATGTGTATCCAAGTTAACCTTGCAAAGTTCCTGTCAAATAACTTTTATATTTCCCCTACAAATGCCATGAACTCCCAACCACAAGCCTCTGCTCATAATCTTTGACTTTCTGTTAAGCATTTAAACATGAATAAATATGAAGATCAGTAAGTGTTCTAGAATGATGTTGAACAATTAATCTAAAGACAATGCAGTAAATTGGAGCAGAGATGTGAGAGCTAAGATATGAAAGCAGAATAAGACCGTTGTTGAGTCATATGAAATATTGCTTTGGAGATGAAGTATTTAGTGGTCAGGGTGAACACCTCTGGTGCTATAACTGGGAATTGTTCCTGCTATATGGGTGACCTATGCTCTGCTTTTAAAAAATATTTCCTTTTGGACTTATGCCTTCCTGAGTCCTCTGTCCTAGTGAAAATTAAGTCTAAGCTATAGGACTGTTTCCCTGAACATGAGGAAATTGATGTTCTGAATAAGTCACTTTAGTGTTGACAACTAGATTGTTGTGTACAGGTAAAGAGGAAATAAAATAGAAGTTTATAGTCTGCTAACTACTAGGAATTCTAACACAATATACTAGATGTGAACAGATAAAATAACCTATATACTTTAGCTCCTTCATCCAATTTAATCTTTGCCCCAATGTTCCAGTGAACATAATTGTGTACTGATTTTTAGCACCCTTACTTACCGTTACTTGTCCTTCATGAGCTCACAGCATTCTCTTTGAATCTCACATTCCTGCTTAGTAATACTTTAAATATTTTTGTTCTCTCTCCTTGTTCTTTTTTTGTCTTAATTTTCTCCTCCAATTTTTTTTTAATCCTCACTCGAGGATATTTTTCCATTAATTTTTAGAGAGAGTGGAATAGGAGCAAAAGACAGAAAAAAATGTTGATGTGAGAGAAATAACATAGATTGGTTGCCTCCTGGATGAGCCCTGACTAGGCTGGGAGGAGCCTGCAACTGAGATACATGCCCTTGAACAGAATCAAACTGGGGACCCTTTGGTCTGCAGGCTGATACTCTATCCACTGAGCCAAATCGGCTATGGCATCCTCCAAGTTTTTAAGGTCATTATTTGTAAAGTGTCAATGGTGCTTGGGTTTATAACCACATTCCTTCCCCTTTCTGCTATCGCAGTTTTTAGTGTTTATTATTTTTTAAATAAATAGAATAGAGGAAGTTTACATTTGAGAGTTCCTTCATTTGCAGAGATTGATTTGAAGCCTAAGAATCAACCCAACTCTATGATGATACTATTGTTTAAGATTTACATGGTATTAAATGTTGGATTCCTTTGTAGACCTGTGGAAGATTCATGAGTCAGAAGAAAGACACCAGGAAAGCAAAGCTGAAAAGTCAAGGCAAGTTCAAGAATTCAGTTTTAAAATTACAAGTTTTATAAGAAAGGGTCTAGATGAGGGTACTGGAATTAGGACTGTCCTAGTTAATACTACACGTGAGAAAACTAACATTGGAGCAAATTGCAAAGAACATAATGCAAATGAGAAAGCCCTTTTTCAAAATGGAGACCTTTTTCAAGATCAGGGAGCACAATTATTGAAGCAGTCTTCTGATTCTTCAGAGTTACACAATCAGGGAGGCTTTATTATAGAAGGTAGAGTTAAGTAGAGAGATCCTATGAATATAATGCAAGTGAAGGTTCTGTCAAACAGTAAACCACAGTGTATGTCAGAGAGCATTCATAGTAGAGAAACCCTATGAATCTAATTAATATGGGGAATTTTGAAGAAATTGGTTATTTTGGTGGTGAGAATGGCATCAGGTATTAGACTGATGAAGTCAGACCAGACCCTAGTTTAACTTGAGTTCTGGCTAAGAAAGAATTCATATCTAAGACTCAAACTGTAAGAGAAAGTGTATCTAGAAAGTCATAGAAGCAGAAGTGAGAGAGGAATAAATGGGCTCAGGAAACAAATTAAACATGTTATAGGAGCAAAACAAGGGCCCTTGGTGCTTAGGAGAGAGAAAAATAGAAGTACCTTTTATCTGATGGGAAGAAGAGAGTGAGGGGAAAGGCTTGGGTGTGCTTCCAAGAGGGGGAGCCACCCTGGGTCATCCATCTTGAGAGTGTTTATCTGGAGGTCTCAGGGGAGGATCCCAATAGAATATTCATCAGCTTTCCAGGTGTGTCATTTGAGGGTCATGGTCTCTACTGATTGGTTGGCACCAAGGCAGGGGGTCATTAGTCATTGCAGGTCCTGAGGTCAGCCATGGCATCATTTGTCTGGTTTTGCTACTTTTCTGGACTTCAGGCTAAAACACAGTTGAGGCTAGATGTTATCCCTAGGGATTGATGCTTAAGGGAGTGATCTTGCAAGGGCCCACATAGGAGTTGCATGAGGCCCCTTGTTCCTCCTTTAAGGGGTATATCCCAAGACTAGCAACATGCTAAGAGAGGAAAGGTCAGGGGAAGGTCTAAATCACATGACAAGCGATATGAAAGGTCTGGAGAACATCCAGACTATACAACCAGAAATGAACAGTCAAGAGGTTTAAATCACATGAGTAGGGAGTGATATGCTAGGGAAGGAAAGGTTACACTGTGGATGAGGTGGCACTTTTCCCAGTTTTTGTCATTGCTGGGAACCTGAGGCTTTCTGCCCTGGTGACCTTCTGTCCCTGGCCCATTGTCCTCACTTTGTTCATGGCTATCTAACTGCCTACCACACAGCTATAAAATAGACAGCAGATAAGTGAAAAAGATTTACACATTAATGAATTTGAAATTTTTTCTCTAGGACTGGAGAACCCACAAATAAAAAGACACATACCAAAGAGAAAACCTATTCATGCAATGAATGTGGGAAGTCTTTCTACCAGCAGTCTATCCTTACAGTACATCAGAATACTCATTCAAAGGACAAATCCATTGAAAGTGGGCAATCCGTCCCTAGGAATGGAGACCTCACAAGACATGAGAAGACTAACACCAGAGAAAAAAATTATGAATGTCAAGAATGTAAGAAAACTTTCTACCACCTGTCATCTCTCAGTAGACATTTGAGAACTCATGCAGGAGAGAAACCCTATGAATGTGATCAGTGTGGGAAGTCCTTCTACCAGAAGCCACACCTCACAGAACATAAGAAAACACACACAGGAGAGAAACCCTATGAATGTACTGAATGTGGGAAGTTCTTCTATGTTAAGGCATACCTAATGGTACATCAGAAAACACACACAGGGGAGAAACCATTTCAATGTAAGGAATGCGGAAAACACTTTTCCCAGAAATCACACCTTACAGTACATCAAAGATCACACACAGGGGAAAAACCTTATAAATGTAAGGAATGTGGGAAATTATTTTCTAGAAACACACATCTCAAAACTCATCAGAGAACTCATACTGGGGAGAAACCCTATAAATGTACTGAATGTGGGAAATGCTTCTACCAGAAGTCAGCCCTCACAGTACATCAGCGAACTCACACGGGAGAGAAACCCTTTGAGTGTAATAAATGTGGAAAACACTTCTACTATAAATCTGACCTTACTAAACATCAAAGGAAACACACAGGGGAGAAGCCCTACAAATGTGATGAATGTGGTAAATCTTTCTCTGTGAATTCAGTCCTGCGGTTACATCAAAGAACTCACACTGGAGAGAAACCTTATGAATGTAAAGAATGTGGGAAATTATTCTCTCAGAAGTCACATTTTATCATACACCAGAGAAAACACACAGGGGAGAAACCCTATGAATGTCAAGAGTGTAAGAAATCTTTTATCCAGAAGTCAGAACTCACTGCACATCAAAAGATACACAGACCAAGAAAGAGCTAATAAATAGTATGAATTGGGAACTTCTAACTGAGTGTACCATTCAGAATAATGAGATAATTTACACAAGACAAAAACTTTAGGTATACCATCAATATGGGGAACTTTAGTCACAATTCTTCACAGACAGGAAATACAGAGAGAAATTCTACAAGTGAAAATTTTATCATATGTCAGATTTGACTAAATGTCAGACAACATAGATGACAGAAACACTGCAAATTATGAAACACTAGGAAACCTTTGAGAAGTCAGACTTTATTGTGCAACATAGGAATCAATCACACAGGAGAGAAGTCCTGTAAGTAAAATGAATGTCAGGAAATTTTCTGTCAGGGCAGCCATCACTAGACATCCAAAAGCTCACATTAGAGACTCCTGTCAGATTCCTGATCATTCAGAAGTCTTTTTACCTCAGTTAAACTAAGAGGGGCTGACTGCAAAGATGAGAACAGATATAGAAACTTTTATCTGAAGTGATGTTTTAGCAAATGTCAGATTATTGATACTGGGATAGAACCTTTAAATATATAAAAGCTTTACAAGAAAATTCAAAGAGAAACTATACAGAGGGGAATAGTGGTACCAGAAGTCATGTCACAGAGATTTGACTATAAGGTGTGTGTGTGTGTGTGTGTGTGTGTGTGTGTGTGTGTGTGTATGTGTGTGTGTGTGTGTTTAGAAAACTACAACTATCTAGATATATTAAGGTTTTGAAAAGTACAAATAAATTGAATAATCAAGCAACATCATTAAACACAAGTAGAGTCCTGAAGTATGTGGGACTTATGTGTGTGAGTGCGCTACAAAACACAGCCTATGGGTGTTTGATGTGCGTGTGAAACCCAAAATTGTACATAGAGAAATATGTCACTTTAGTTCAGTAGCTTTTATGTACACAAAGATATTATTAAACATCAAAGGAAACACCCAGGGGAGAAGCCCTACAAATGTGATGAATGTGGTTAAGTTTCAGCAGTGACTCCTGTCAAAGTGTATTTAAGTATATTTTTAAATTATAATGTGTCTTGTTCTCCCGTTTTCTGTCATTTTTAAATGAATGTGTATGTTGTTACTAACTAATCTTCAGAAAGAAGTTAAAAATGTTTTTTGTAAAATTTTCAACTGTGAGCTACATTTTACAATAGGGACACATTTATAAGAAAGCCGAGTTTATTTTTTTAAACAGCTGATAAACCTCTACACAGTAACCACAAATAAGTCTATGTAAGAAATTGTTATCTACCTTACTGTTGATGTTTTAGCAGGTGCAGCACTATCTGTTTTGTATTTTGTAGGCGTCTTAAATGAGTTGCCTGTTTATTTCTGGCAGAAGCGAACGGCAAAGGCTCAAATTCTAGCATGGGGCAGGCCACACAACCTCTCGATGCCTCAGTTTACTTTTATAGGAGAAATGATAATATGTTATGATTGCTTTGGGGATAAATGGGTTATTTTAATGCACTTAGACTAGCTTCTGAGATGGAAACATAGCTATATGTTAGATATTATCATCATTGTAATTTGTCTTTTTTGTATTATGCTGAAGGAAAAGATTGGCTGCCAACATCCATCCCAAACTTGATTGCTATAGAGCCATTTGGTTTGTTTGTACATTTTCCCAGAAGTGACTTAGAGCTGGCCCATACCCGTTTTGCAGCTGGCAAATTAAGAATGGCTTTACATTTCTAAATAGCTGAAAAAAAGAATGTTTTGAGATGTTCAAATTTCAGTGTCCCTCTAGTGAAGTTTTATTAGAACACCAATACAAAAACCGTTCATTTCTGCTTGACCTGTGGCTTCTTTCATGCTCCAAGAGTAGAGCTGATAGTCCTGGCATAGACCTTATGGCCCATCGAGCCTAAGATGGTTCCTACCTGGCACTTTACAAAGTTACCGTTTCCTGTTCCTTAGAGCTAAAAGCACTACAGCCAATGTAAAAGCACTTTTCTATTTGGGATGTGTTTCAGAAATTGTGCATACAGCAATTTGTGGTGGGGTAGTTTTGTGCTATTTTGTGTAGCATACTAGTATTTACATGCGAAAAGACTAAACATTAGAATTTTTTCAAATAAATGTATTTTACTTGATGATTTTTCAAAACATCAAGAAATTTTCTGATGGAATGTAGCAGTAAATATACAAAATAAACAGTGTCTAAATAAAATTGAATTGAATCATTAATGGATCCCTGTCCACATTATTAATGTTCCAAGTCAATAGCAAGTTTTCCCTGTATCATTTTATAGGTTTTCACTATCTCATGATAAAATGCCATCTTTATGTCATACTTAACTAAAGTAACCCAGTAACACAAAAAAGTCACAATACCCAATTCCATTAGCTACTGTACATTACTAGTAATTAACTAGTACTATATTACTAATAAAACTAATTTATTGCCCATACTTCATATAACTTTAAATGCTCCAATCTAAATCCTGCTACCTTCCCCTTTTTAGTGATGACTTTCAATGAGGTTCAACTTTTAAGCATGCTTCATTCTGATTTGTCTGTTTTACACTAATGATCACCTAGGGTGATGATATTTAGTGATTGCTTGTATCTTAAGAATAAGATATTTCATGGTAAAATAGTCACCAATATTGTACTCAGCTCTGACGAGCATTCCATCTTGATAGAGTTTTAAGAGGAACCTTTATGCCTTTAGAATTGCTCTTTATTTCTACCTGCTGTGAGATCAAATGCATTTCTAACTTTCTCAGGCTTCTCAATCAACAACTAAATAAAAATTAATTAGTACCGCCCTAGCCAGTTTGGCTCAGTGGATAGAACATTGGCCTGTGGACTGAAGGGCTCAATTCTGGTCGAGGGCACATGCCAGTATTGCGGGCTCAATCTCCAGTGTGGGGCATGCTTGATACGCAGCTCTGGTCAGGCCTCCTGTGGGAGGCAACCAATCGATGTGTCTCTTTCATAGTGATGTTTCTCTCTCTGTGTCTTTTCCCCTCCCTTCCACTCTCTCTAAAAATCAGTAGAAAATAGCCTCAAGTGAGGATTAACAACAAATAAAATTTAAGTAGTACTTTCCAAGGACAATCCAATAACTAGAAAATCTATTAAAAATACAGCCTGGCTCACCCTAATTGGTTTGGCTCAGTGAATAGAGCATTGGCCTGAGGACTGAAGGGTCAAGGGTTCAATTCCTGTCAAGGTCACACATCTCGGTTGCAAGCTCCATGCCCAGCCCCTCCACCTCTACCCCTCACTCCCAGTTGGGACTGGTGTGTGAGGCAACCAATCTCTTTCACATAAATGTTTCTCTCCGTTTCTCCCTCTCCCTAACACTCTCTCTAAAAAATCAATGGAAAAATAAACTTGGATATTAACAACAACAACAACAAAAAGAATAAAGCCTGGCCCAGCCAGTGTTGCTCAGTGGTTGAGCATAGACCTATAAAGCAGGAAGTCATGCTTCAATTCTGTCAGGGCACCTGCCTGAGTTGGAGGCTTGATCCCCAAAAGGGGGTGTGCAGGAGGTAGCCAATCAATGATTCTCATCATTGATGTTTTTCCCTCTCTCTCTACCTCTCTCTTCCTCTCTTAAATCAATAAAAATGTATTAGCAGAGAGCACAGCAGCAGCGTATTATGCCAATGATAGATTTGCTTGCCTTGCCTCTTTAATAGACTTGCGTGCTAAAAATAAATAAATAGTAAAATTTTAAAAAACTTGCGTGCTTTAATTTTTTAATAAATTGGCTTTATCACAATGCATGTTATTTGGGCAACTTAGCCAGGAAGCTGCAGCTTCACACTCCTCAGGAATCCACAAAGAGGAGACAGATGCATGCCCAGTAAAGTTGAAGAGACCAGGGAAGACGCTGTCAGTCACACCTGGAAACAGGGCACTAGCGAGAATGGGCGTGGCCCCTGCAAACACATGGCAATTTGGGGACACATAATCCCCAAAAGTTTGCTCTCTTGGAGAACCTAACCTAAAACAATTATTGATATTTATATTTATTTAAATGTAAATAACTAAAAATGTAAATATTGTATGTTTTAAAAATTCTTGCAGCACACCAGTTGAAAATCGCTGTTCATAGCAGCTATGTGAGCCTAGCAGCCACTGGGGGCCCAGGTCAGACCACACAGGTTACAAAGTACTCCTAAGGTTAATATGGCAGCATCTCTGAACACTGGTCTTCCTTCTGGACTTGATGAAGACAAGGCTGGACTTTTCCCACAGGGGGCACCTGGAGAGGAGACCCAGCGGAGCGGGCGTGGAGCTCACTGGGGAGGGGATCCTGAGAAATGTACTTAACAATTTACGTGCCAGGCACCGTCCTAAGTGCTTTTACCGTGTAGATGCCTGCGATGCGTTTCCATCAAAACAGTGCGAGGTGGGCCCCGCTACCAGCGTAGGTTTACAATCGAGGAGCGAGCATCGCTTCCCGGGCCGGGCCTCTTCTCCAGCCCCGCTGCCCCCGCTGTCAGGCGCCGAGCCGCTCTCCGCCCGCCGCGGAGCCGCCCTCTGCGCATGTGCATCCCCGCCTCCTGTCGGCCGCCGGCCCTCCGGGGACCATCCCTGCCTGCGGGTCCACGCGGCGGGAGAGCTGCGGGTGAGCCCCAGAGGGGGGAGCGAGGGCCGAGGGGTCCCGCGCGGCTCTGGGGTGCGGCGGCTCCGGTGATGAGGAGGAGCCCTGCGACCCCGGCGGAACCCCTGGCGTCTGCGGCACCCGAGGCTGAAGGGACGCGGGGCGGGGGGGCTTCTCCGTCCAGTTGGACCGGGGCTGGCGTGGGGTGCGGGCTCCAGGCTGGCGACCTCCCCGGCGTCCAGCCCCCGCGCCACCGCGCCCTCGTGTGGCCGCCGGCGGGGAGTGCGCGACGGGAGCGCCGGGCCCGCGGGGCGGGGAGGGGGCGGGTAAGAGTGCGCATGCGCAGCGGGTGCGCGGGGCGGGGCTGGGAAGGAGGAGTGCGCGTGCGCGGCGGGTGCGCGTGCCAGGCGTGTGCGCCGGGCCTGCGAGGAAGAGGGCGCGTCGGGCCCGCGGTTGGTGGTACTTGAACCCGAGAGACCCTGCTTTTCCTTCCGTAAAACGCGGGTTTCAGGATTACTTGCCGCGCCGGGTGGTGCCGAGCACCTGCGTTTTGTCGGCTGTGTGCACTGGCTGCGTGCGTGGCACGTGCGGCGGGAGGTTGGGCCGGCCCTGGGGCCTCCTGTCCCAGTTAACTCCCTGGGGAACCAGAAGCGGGAAAGGGCCGGACTGGCTGGCGACCGAGGCCCGTCCTGGCTCCAGCGCTCTCCAGACCCCAAGTTAGTATTTATGATGTGTTCCTTGTGATTTGTTATGGGTGATCTTGACACGGTCTCCTGAAGCCGGGGAGGCTGTGTGCCGGGAAGACCGGGGACAAAGCTAAGAAGAGGGCTGAGCTGGAGCTGCAGGGCTGGGCTGCGGCTGGCACAGAGGCCGGGCACGCAGGCTCTACAGGACATGCCAGCCTTTGGAGAGTCCCTGGCCTTGTCGTAGGGCTGAAAGGCTCGCCGGCCACAGCTAAGGAAATTCTGTCATGGCTCCTCCCTAAATACCCCTTACTAAGCCTCTTGGCTCACGGTCCGCTCTTCCCGGAGCTGAGCTGCCTGCAGAGCCCCAGGATGGGCTGATGATGGCATCTAGAGAAGATGCTGAGGTTCCCACTCTCCGGGCCTCATGCAGGCAAGTCCTTTCCGGATGATCTAGTTGGACCTTATTTGAAAGGTTTTTTTTTTTTAAAAAAAGTGAGTCTGAGAAGGCGACTGGCTCAGATCATGCAATTTGTTAGTGGTGGAGCCAAGATGAAAAGGTATTAATAGATCTGCAGGTCCCTGAGCTACTGCTCGTTTTGTCAACTGTTAGGTCAAAGCTGGTTCCCTATTAAAAGGTCTTTTTGAAAATTGTAAGCAGGTTAGAACGAACATTAAAAATTTTACCTGGTCTTTAAACATCCCCATCCCCTTTTTCAGAGGTTTCTTGGATTATTCGACCCCAAAGGATTAATGTTGTTAGCAGGTAAATAGATAAACAGTATGGCTTGAGGGTTTCTTTTCCTCTACAGCATAAGTTTTAACAAATCCATGGTGTTTCCTTCTTTAGATTACTGTTTTCTGTTAAACTCATCTTCTTATGTTTTTAATTTTTGTGTCACAGAACCTAAATTGGTAATAAATCAGTAAGAAACAAATATTACATTCACTCAGTGAAAAGTATCATGTCTAAGCTCAACATATATTGGAGCCACACGTGGACATGTAAGTATCTTGTGTGTGGAGCTGTGTAGGCAGGTAAATCCAGGAACTGCAAAGCAGGTCAAGTTCTCCTGACTTCCTTCTTCCTTCTTCCTTAGCACTGCCTCCTCCACTAAGAACAGAAAATGAAGAAATCACAGGTGAGTTTTTGTTTTTTTATTCCCACTTGTTTTAAAATGTGTTTTCTAAATTTTATAATTGTGGGGTCGAACCCTGGGTTCAAAATAAGACACCGGAGGTTGATAATTTATTTTAAAAAAAGCAAACAAGAATGTATTGAACTGGCCTGGGCATCTGTAAGAGTACCACACGCAGGTGGACCCTACACGACTGCGAGGCATTAGGGGCAGGTAGTTATTTTTAAAGATTCTGAGAAGGAAAACCCCCATTCTACAATAAACTGTTGTTTGGAATTTTCTGCTGTTCTTCCTAGATAAAATGTTGCTTTCTAGTTTGCTTTAGCCCGTTTGAAGAACGATGAAGACAAACCTAGCTGTCTGACCTTGCAAGCCAGAGACCAGATATGCCCACAATCTCAATACCATGCCAGGTGCACTTATTGTTTTCGAGGCCGGCATGGAGATAAACACTAAGTGTACATAGGGCTGGCTCTTTAATGAAACAGTTCTGCCTGTAACCTTGCCCAGAACTTGAACTCATCCTCCCTAAGCCCATCGCGCGATGAACAAAGCAAGTAAGTGAAGGTCGAAGTCAGAATAGTAGGGTTAAAATGCAAACAATAGTTTTTACCCAAGTATGATTGCTACCATATTTCAAAAAATAGGCAAAATTTTACATTAAGGGAAATGTAACAACAGTAGTAAATCCAAAAGGACAGTTGGTAAAACCAGATGCAAGATGGTTAATTTTACAGTTACCCAAGTTATTGTAAAATTTTCTCTGGTCTTTCTAATGACAACACTGAAATAAATGCATTATATTGCCTATAATCATTTTTGTTTCGTTGTTGGAAACAGCACAGTACTAAGGCAGAGCCTTTTGTTAAAATGCAGATTTTTTATGTAGTTAGTAGAGCTGGGTGGAGTCTTGAATTCTGTAATTTTAATAACCTCCCAAATGAAGCTGATTCTGCTGTTAAAGTTAACACACAAATAGCAAGTCTATACACTATTTTCCCTTTTCGACATTTTTTTCCCCACTTTTTTCATACTGTCCCAGAGAACTCTGTATAACAGAACATGGATTGCTGATTCTTTTTGTTATTATATAACTGTACAGTAACTCAATTATGAATGTTCCATAGTTTATTTAACCAGGTATTAACTACTTCCAACCTTTTCCTGCTACAAACCATGTTGTTTTTGTTTTTGTTCTTAATATATTTTATTGATTTTTTACAGAGAGGAAGGGAGAGAGATAGAGAGCTAGAAACGTCATGAGAGAGAAATATCAACCAGCTGCCTCTTGCACACTCCTTACCGGGGATGTTCCCACAACCAATGTACATGCCCTTGACCGGAATCAAACCTGGGACCTTTCAGTCCGCAGATCGACGCTCTACCACTGAGCCAAACCGGTTTCAAACCATGTTTTAATGAGTGACCTTGTAAGTATAGATTTATTCCATCAAATAAATTACCATAAATGGAGTTGCCAGATCAAAGGGTGAATACAAATAGATAAATTTGATTAGTTTGGTGGAATTATAATATCATTTTACATTCCCTTTACAATACATGAGAGTGCTTGTTTCTCATCAGCTATTTTTTAGTCACTATCTGGTTCAATTTTTGGCAGCTAAAAGTAAAAAGTGATATTTTATATAGTTTTCGTCTGCAATTTTCTTTTTTCTTTTTTTAATATATTTTATTGATTTTTTACAGAGAGAAAGGGAGAGAGATAGAGAGCTAGAAACGTCGATGAGAGAGAAACATCGACCAGCTGCCTCCTGCACATCCCCTACCGGGGATGTACTGGCAGCCAATGCACATGCCCTTGACAGAAATCGAACCCGGGACCCCTCAGTCCACAGACCGACGCTCTACCACTGAGCCAAACCGGCTTCGGCAGTCTGCAATTTTCTTAATTATGAATGAGACTTAATATTTTTTCATGTATCTAAAAGTTGTCTTGTATTTATATTTCAGTGAACTATCTGTTCATACCTATTGCCCATTTTGCTCCTAAGTTTCTGGCTTCCTTTTTTCAGTGTCTAGTTAGGTCTTATAATATATATTAGAGTTACTAATGCTAGTTTATTATATACGTGAAAAACTATTACTTTTTGTTATATTATTTGTCTCTTGATAATTTCTCTGGTTTCTTTTATTGGAACCAAGATTGGGAGGCTATTGCTGCTGATGTGTCATTGCTTGTAAACACCCTCTCAGACGACTGAACAAGGAAATATGTCTATACTAACTAATATACATATCTATAAATATTTCAGTGTATAACCATCTCTATCTACAGTAAGTATTAGTTCATATTGATGTCTCTTGCTGTAATCATTGGCACATGGAACATTCTATCTAGCCTTCTCCCCTTACTTGTCTGTAATATCCCACACTAACAATGAGAATCTGGCTACCACCATTTGACTTTCACTTAATTATTTAGTTTCAGCTTACTAATATATGTATAAGTGATTTTAGAATTTTTCCTTCCAGTTTTTGGCATCCTGAATTAAACTTTTAGAAACATTCACATGTTGGTTTTTGCATGGATGTAAATTTTTGTTAGATCATCTATCATACCTAATAATAGAGTATCCTACCTAATAATACAGTAATATGCAAATTAACCACCACTTTGCTACACCCACAAGCCATGCCCACCAGCCAATCAGAGTGAGTATGCAAATTAACCCAACAAAGATGGTGGTTAATTTGCGTGCAGAGGGAGGGAGGAGTGAAGACTGAAGACAGCACAGAAGGAAGAGTGGAAATCAAGGTGGCTGCAGCTGAGGAAAGCACTGGCAGCGAGGGCAGGGCGGGGCGAGGCATGCAGCGGTAATGCACAGGGCCTCAGAGGCGGCAGCAGTAGGCGAGGCGGGTTAGGGTGCGCAGCGGGCGCTGTGGCAGCAGCGTGAGTACAGCCTCGGAAGCAGCAGCAGTGGCAGGCAAGGCAGGTTGGGCGTGCGGGGTGAGCTGTGCAGCGGTAGTGACAGCGCCCATGCGCAACCTTGAAGACATTGGTGGCTGTGGCCATGGGCATGGTGGGGCAGGTGGGATGGGAGGGGCACCCATCCTGCCTGCCCACCCCACTCTGCCCTCCACAGTGGGAGAGGTAGTGGGAGGGAAGCTTGTCGGAAGTCTTGCAAGAATATTCCTGCAACAGGTCACTAGTGTGTATACACACACACAAACACATACACACACACAAACACACACACACACACACACACACAGATAATATGCAAATTAGCCGGACGTCACAACTGGCTCTGGAGTTGCCGCCCCCACCCCAGTTGACACACACCAGGGGTAGGGGTGTGCTCTGCAGCTCTGAGCACACCCTCAGTGGGTGGCGGCAGTGGCCTGAGCAAAGCAGCCCGGGTCCTGGGTGCCGGTGCCAGCAGCCAGGGGAAGGAAGGCCTATTCTTGTACCAATCTTAGTGCATCGGACCTCTAGGGTATTCAATAAGACTGTGTTTCTTTGTGTTTTTAGGGGTGAGATGAGTTGATGAGACCTGGCTGCCTCCTTTGTTGCTTTGCCCTTCCAGCAATGGTGACCAGTGGACCTGCATGGAGTCCCCTTTGTGCCTCCACCCATCCCTGAGATTAGTCACAGAGTGCACCCTTCGCTCAGAGAAAAAGTGTTTCTGTGGTAACATTTCTCAGATTTGCAGATAATATCTCTGCAACCTAACACAAAGGGTGAGGGGAGGCGAGCTCTGGGTGCTTAAAGAAAGGTGGCCAGGCTCTTGGGCTTGGTCTGGAAATCTCTGTCTGGAATGCCAATTGCCAGACAACCATGACCACATCTCTGTGCTTTGTCCCTGCCCTGGACACTGGGCTCAGCTTTGTCCGTGCCCTGGACACTGGGCTCAGCTGGAGCTCAGACTGCCCACTCCTGCAGGAATGCTTACTAAATCCCTTTGCTTCTTTGGCTGAAGGGAGTGCCATTCACAAAAGCTCTTAGCTGCAGGGCTGTGTCCATGGCTCCTTTAAACTCTTCTCCCTTCTTGTCACCCTGGTTGGCTCCCACTTGCCCACCGTTAGATGTTTCAATGTGCAGATCTCTCAGACATGTTCGTGGTTGAACAGGGAATTCTTTGTTGAATTATAGCTGCTTAAATTATTGAAACTTCAAGGGGCGAGATCAAGGGAATCTCTCACACCACCATTCCTCTGACATCACAGGTTACCAATTTAAAAACTTTTATGTCTAACCTATACATTTGATGCTATACATTTCCCTTTATGCACTGCATCATTTTTTCATTTTTATTATATTTAAAGTATATTATGTATTTTCATTTTCATTATATTTAAGTATTTTCATTATATTTATTTTCATTTTCATTATATTTAAAATATATTAAAATTTCTTTCGAGACTTCTTCTTTGACCTATAAGTTATTTATAAATATATTGTTTAATAACACATTTAGTATTGGGGGGATTTTCCAACTGCCAACTATTATTAGCTTATTAATTTCTATTCTATTATGATCTGAGGACATATTTTGTATGATCAACTATTTTAAGTTCATTAAGGTGTGTTTTGTGGCCTGGGCTATGTTCTGTCTTGGTGACTGTTCCATGTGAGCTAGAACAGAGTGACAGAATCTGTATTTTATTGTTTTGGTTAAAGACTGATCATGTTGAGTGATAGTGTTGCTCAGGTCATCCATATACTTACTGACTTTCTGCCTGCTCTCTCTCAATATTGAGAGAGGAATATTGAAGTTTCCAACTATGATCTGTCTGTTTCTCCTTTCAGTTTTATCAGTTTTTGTTGTTTGTATTTTGATATTCTTTTGTTAGATATGTACATGTTTCATATTGTCTCCTTTCTGTGGTGTGATTTTGACCCATCTAATGAGTTCTTAGTTTCAGTTCTAGAATGCCCTTTTAATGTATGCGTGAGAATCTAGTACGTGTGTATAAATATATACATGTATTGGAGGGCCACAAGAGCATTCCAGGTTCAGTGGATCACTGGGATGACTCATTATGAGTTGTACTTATGGTTATGACTTATATAAGTGAAAGGATACAAAGCACAGTCAGCATGGGAAAAGGCACATGGGAAACAAGAGGAAACCAGGCACAAATTGGTAAGCGTCTTCTCCCTGGACACACTTAGTCCTCTAGCAATGAGCTATGACAACAAGCATGAAATATCTGCCAGGAAAGCTCAGTACACACTCGGTGCTCAAAGTTTTTATCAAGGATTAGTTACATAGGTACTCTGTGCTTAGCACATGAAGTCCCAGGCACCAGATAGAATGCACATGTACAACATAAACTACATTGCATAACCAGTCTACACTCAATGAAGCATTGTTATTAGAGAACTAGAGGCCCCGCTTCCAATCAGGGTAGAAAACTGGTCGGGGGACAGGCCGGCCAGAGTAGGGGGGGAATTGGGGCTGGATCAGGCTGGCTGGCTGCCGCAGTGTGCTTCATAGCCACTGATCGTTCTGGTTGTTCCGCCATACTGGTCGCTCAGCTTTTATTCTATACTAGGAGCCCCATACATAAATTCACGCAGGTTGAAAGGAACTGTGGCTGTGAGGCTGTGGTGGACACAGGGGCAGGTCTCGGCCAATTCTCCATGCTCCACCTGACCCCTCCCACCATGGCTCCCTGGCCCCTCGTCTGCCAGCAGCCCCACTCCCACCACTGCCGCTCCCATGCGCTGACGGTGCTGAGCTCGCTGACAGTGGGAGCGAATGTGGCTATCACAGGCAGCAGGTATGAGATGTAGCTGCCGGCCCCAATTGCCTCTCAGGAGCAGGGCATTGGCTGTGGTGGGATGGTGGAGCAAGTGAGTGGGGGTGCCAGGCAAAGGGAGGTACTAGTCACTGTCATTGGGATGAGCCTCTGGTGGTTACCGAAAATTCTTTGCTCATGCAAGCTGCAGTCCTGCACGGTGCTCGCACATACTACCAGCACTGGAGCCACTGCTTGCACTTGCTGTGGCACCTGGCACCGACCCCTATTGCCCTTCAAGGCTTCTCCATCTCCCCCTGCAAATTAAAAAATTGAACCACTGTCTTAACACCTTACACCAAACAACTGTTGCCCATAAAACCCCACCTCAGCCCCCACCTTAGGTTCTGCCTTCACAGTTCACCCAGATTAGGTTCTGATTGGTCAGTTTCTATACCAGTCAGCATCAAAAGCCCCACCTTCTACACAGCCATTGGTTCCTCACAACTCACCCAGATTTGGTTCTAATTGGTTGGGTTTTTTTTATGCCAGTCAGCATCAAAAGCTCCACCTCTTAGGCAGCCATTAGCTCCTTGCAGTTCATCCAGATTTGTTCCTGGTTGGTTGGTTTCTATGCCAGTCAGTGTCTCCAGGCCTGATAAGAAAGGTGGGGCTGATCAGCAGCCACCCCAGGCTGCTGGTGAGGGGGCTGAACTGCTGACCTCTCAGAGAGAGTGTTTTGGCTGCTGGTGAGGCCCGGAGAGAGAGGCAAGGGCTGATAATCAGCTTCGCCTCTTTCTCTCTCTCTCTCTTTCTGAGAGGTCAGCAGTTCAGCCCCCTCGCCAGTCCCTGCCCACCCAAGCCTGCTGCACGAGCAGCCTGGCGTTCGGTCGTCCCTTTGGTAATTTTAGATGTTACGGACCCTGGCTCTTTATATAGAGAGATTTTTTTCTTGGTCCTTATCTTCACAGAACATGAAATTTTTTATTGGATGCCAGACATTATATTTATTTAAAAAATGGTAGAGGGTCCAGAAAATTATCTCTTTCAACAGAGAGGATATATCCTTTCTCTGGTGGGCAGGTAGAATGCAGGACTGGTCACTTTATTCAATCATAAGTTGAAACTGGTCAGGGCCTGCACCATATTCATTTCAATCCACTATTCATTTTAACAACTGAAAGTTTTACTTCCTCAGTGAAGGTTGACTTAATAATATGAAAGGTGTCCAGCTGTTGTGGCTAAGTGGTTGAGCATCAACCTGTGAACTAGGAGGTCACACTTCAATTCCCAGCCAGGGCACATGCCTGGGTTGCAGACTCAATCTCCAGTAGGGGGCATGCTGGAGGCAGCCAATCAGTGTTTGCTCTCATTACTGATGTTTCTATCTCCCTCTTCCTTCCTCTCTCTGAAATCAATAAAAAAAATATTAAAAAATAAAACTATTAAGCATTTAAAATATAATAATATAAAAGAACTAACTTTTCCTTGGTAACCCCAGTCTATTTTGTGAATAATGCTAGCTCCTACAATGTGTAATTTAATAAATGATAATGTACATGTCTCCTTATCAGTTCACAAGCATTTGAGAACAGAAACTGTATTTGCTTTCATCAATAGTATTTGTAGCAGTTAGGACAGTTCCAAGCCCTTAGTGGAAAGTCAGTTTGTTCACATTTTACCTTAAAAAGGCATCCTATATGACAATTTTTAGTAAGCTCTAAAGAAATTAGTTCTTTCAAATTTTTTCCTCATTATATAGTTCTGACGACTTCATATAGAAAAAGAATATACCGTTACAGGAACAAGTGTCATTCAAAGATGTGTGCGTGGACTTCACCCAGGAAGAGTGGTATCTGCTGGATCCTGCTCAGAAGATACTATACAGAGACATGATGCTGGAAACGTACAGCCACCTTGTCTCAATAGGTAAGAATATTTTTCATGTGACTACCAGTTGCATGCATTTCTTAGTTGATGAAACATGAACTTCCTGTAAGAATTTTCTGATTTATAGCTAGAGATTTGGGCTAGCATAAAGAATGTGTTTTTCCCTACTCAGGGATTGGTTGATTTGGGCTCCTTCTTTGAACAGCTCTTTAAGCTGTACCTTTCCCCCCCATCATTTTTTCAGAGTCCCTAAAATCAGGCTGTTGAACCATAGTACTGTATTATTTTCTCTTATCAGGGTATTGCATTACTAAGCCAGAAGTGATCATCAAGATAGAACAAGGAGAAGAGCCCTGGATATTAAAGCAAGGATTCCCAAGCCAGTGCCACCCAGGTGAGTTCATGAGTTCACAAGCAGATGGAAGCTACAGGAAGTGAGATCTTAAGCCATTGTTTAGGGCTAATCACCTTTCAGATATTTCTTTTTGTAGCCCCAGACCTCTTCACAAGTTTTAAGGACAGTTGGCCCACATCCCTTTATTACCTTAATCACATTCCTCCACATGTCACTTTCACTCATAAGTGCTTTCCTTTGTTCTACATTTTAAAGGTGACTTATCTATACCCATAAGCTAAACTTAGTCGGGTTCATCTTAGATAATTTTTCTTGGTTGATGTATTTTTTTGTTGTTGTTAGTGTATCTTTTAGAATTGTTCACCTTCCCTCTATTGTCTTTGTATTAGCTGGTGTGTTTTCATGCAGTACTTCTATATATTCATTTAACAAATATATGTGAGCACTCACTATAATCCAGTTATGTTTTTAGGTAATTAAAAGAGTAATGTCCCTGCTGTCATGTAGTGTATATTACAGTGAGGGGCACAAAGCATACCTGTGCGGTGTGTGTGTGTGTGTGTGTGTGTGTGTGTGTGTGTGTGTGTGTAGATATATGTGCATGTATATACACACACAGTGTTGGGTGATGGTAAGTACTGTTAATGCAGTGGAAAGGGGAATGGAGAGTGAAGTAATATTTGGTAAGAAAGTCAGGAAAAAAAATTTTTTTTAAATATATTTTATTCATTTTTTACAGAGAGGAAGGGAGAGAGAGAGCTAGAAACGTCGATGAGAGAGAAACATCAACCAGCTGCCTCTTGCACACCCCCTACTGGGGATGTGCCCGCAACCAATGTACATGCCCTTGCCCGGAATCGAACCTGGGACCTTTCAGTCCGCAGACCGACGCTCTACCACTGAGCCAAACCGGTTCGGCAGGAAAAATTTTTTAATGAGGTTAATAGAGATAAGACTATTAAAGTGGAAGCGTGAATATTTTAGGCAGGGGAAACATCAGGTGTTGAACTTCTCAGACAGATGTATTCTTAGAGTGAAGAATGGCAAGGAAGCCAATGTGGCTGGAGACCAGTGGGTGGGGGAGAGATAGATAGGAGATGATTTCGTAAGAAGTAGCATGGACCATGGTAGATACAATAATTTTGTTTTGAGTGATGTGAGAAATCCTTTGTTTTTTTAGTTAATGTAAATCAAATTATATCATCAAATCTGATTTACTGTTTAAAAGAGTCTTTCTGACTTCTAGTCAGTGAATAAACTGTGCTGGGTGGGTGGTACTTAGGCATTAGCAAGGAAGAAACACCAATTAGGAGGCTATTATGTACTTCAGAGGAGAGAAGATAGTAGCTAAGGCTATGTTGGAAGTGCTCAAAAGTGGTAGATTTGTACAGATATATTGAAGATGAGACTAAGAGGATTTTCTGTTGGATTGGATAATAGTGTGTGAAAGAGAGGACTCATGAATGACTCCATTGATTTGTTTCAAGAAACTGGATAAATTAAGGTGTCATTTACTGAGATAGAGAAAATTAGGGAGGAGAGATTATAGGGGAGTTATTAGAAATTTAAATTTGAAGCTTGAGATAGCTGTTAAAATCTAGTCTGTGTATTGGAGGTTGGAGTGTACAAGTATGGAATACAGAACTAGAAGTATCCATTTGAAAGGCATTCATTTCAGGTGGTGTCAAAAGCATGGGGTTAGAGGAGATCTTCTAGAACAGATTTGGCAAATTTTTAATAAAAGATCAGAAGGTACATATTTTAGGGTTAGTAGCCACATGCGGTCATGGTTGTTGCTGATGCTGCTCCTCTTTCCACTCCTTCTCTTCCTATTTATTCTCCTTTCTTCTTATCCTTGTTCTTCCCTATTACTCTTCTACTTTGTCCCTCTAAAAGTGTTAAGAATATTCTTAGTTCAAGAACCATTCATTGCTTGTAGTCATAGTTTGCTGACTCCTTTTCTAAAGAGTGGTTCTTTGTGAGAGAAGTAGTCTTGGGACAGTACATTTTTATCGCATGTAAATCCGTTAAATCTCATCATTAGAGGAGATTCAGAAGGAACAATCTAAGTGACATGAAAACCAGAGAGGCTGGTTTTCTAGGAGTCAAATAAGGGACATTCTACAATCCTTTTACTACCTTAAGTGGCAACCATGGGTCACTATACACAGTCTGTTATTTACTAGTCTATTCAGACTCCTGTTGTTTTCCTTTCAAAACCATCAGCTACATCTCTTCATTTTCTCACTTTTCACTGATACCACATAAAACCAGAACTTTGCCCGTGATTTTTCATTTCTGGCTTGAGTTACCTAATAAATGGCTTTTATTTTTTTAAACCTAAAGCATCCAGTGTATCTTTTCCTAGCCTGACAAAGCAGCTTTTTATTAATGAATAAAATTAAAGTATTTCATTGACTATTACAGTGTGGTCCTATTCTTTTTTTATATATATAAGAATTTATTTGAGCTAAAATGATAACATGCTGGGAACCAAGATCACAAGTGCTCTACTGTGGTCCTGTTCTACCTATCCTAATTTCTTTCCGCTCTCCAGAATTTACACTAAAACCCATACTATATTATATCCTAAATTTCACTTATAAATTCTTTTTTTTTTTACTTTAAGTAATTTATTATTTTTCAGTTGCAGTTGACATATAATATTATATTAGTTTTTGGTGTACAACTCAGTGATTAGATGTTACATAACTTACTAAGTTATCACCCTGATAAATCTAGTATCCATCTGACACCATAGATAATTATTAGAATATTACTGACTATATTCTGATGCTGTACTTTGCATCTCCATGATTATTCTGTAACTTCCAATTTGTACTTTTAAATCCTTCACCTTTTCCACCCATCCCCCCAACAGCCTTCCCATCTGGCAACTCTCAAAATGTTCTCTGTATCTGCGAGTCTGTTTCTGTTCTACTTGTTTATTTTATTTTTTAGATCTATTTTGTTTGGTATAAGTATTGCTACCCCAGCTTTTTATTTGTTTCCATTTCCATGAAATAGCTTTTTCATCTCTTTACTTTAAATCTGTGTGTGTCTTTTTATCTGAAGTAAGTCTCTTGTAAGCAGCAAGGGTCTATGAGTCTCTTGTACACAGCAAGGGTCTGTTTTCCTTATCCATTAAGTCTCCATATATCTTTTGATTGGAGCACTTATTTGCATTTAAAGTAATTGTTGATAGATATATACTTATTACCATTATTCATACTTCTTATCCTTTTTTTTTTCTTCTTCAACACTAATTTGGTGGTGATGAACTGCTTTAGCTTTTCCTTGTCTTAGAAGCTCTTTTATTTGTCCTTCTAAATTATAGCTTTGCAGGGTAGAGTAATCTTGGTTATAGGTCCTTGCTTTTCTAAAGAATTTTTAATGTATTTTTATTAATTTCAGAGAGGAAAGGAGAGAGAGAGGGGGGAGGGGGAGGGATGGAGGGAAGGAGGGAGGGAGAGAAACATCAATAATGACAGAAAATCATTGATTGGCTGCCTCCTGCACACCTCCTACTGGGAATTGAGCCCGAAACCCGGGAATGTGCTTTGATCGGGAATCTAAGCATGGCCTTCTAGTTCATAGGTCAATGCTCACCCACTGAGTAATGCTGGCCAGCCTAGCCAAAAATATTAAGATAATGTCTACTTAAGGTCTCAGAACCACATAGAGAAATGTGATCATTATGGATATTACAGTTAAGTAAAATCCACAGATGAGGCTCAAGGTATTAAAAACTAAAAACTCTATAAAAGATTAACCTAGAAATAAAATCAAGACTTAAAAATCAACATTGCCTCAGAAACAAAATTATTTTGTGGAGAAGAAAGCCAGCAGATTGAGGTGAAGGAACATCTGACTTGCTGGCTTGGCCAGTTTCCTTAACAGCTGTGAGAAAACAAAATGTACCTGGTCCTTTTGCAGAGATGGCCTGTACCTCATCTGTATTGTATTTCCTGTTGAACATTTGTGTTGTGAATCACAGCTAGCAAGAGAGTAGGAATGTCAGGTAAAGCAGTGTTCTTTAATGCATAAGAAAATAGATGATTTCAGGATTTATTTTGATGTTGACATAAAATGTGGAGAGGGAGGAATGGCAACATGCATTAGTGAGGATCTTACCACAGTAATAAAGTTGTGAGAAGGTAAGGACATAAACCATGACCTGCCTCTGCCATAGCAAATTCTTTCTCTAATTTTTTCTTAAGTCTGTTTTCCTTAGAAACAAAAACAAAACACAAAAAACTTCCCTTGTTGAACTCACCCAGTTTTGAGTTTCTTGCTTTCTGAATGAACAACTGTCAGAAAATCTCACCATGTCTTCAGTTTATTTCACCTTCTCTAACTTGCTCTTCTTAAAACATTTTTAAAAATAATTATTTTTGTGTGAATTATATCAAAGGAAAATCTAGATCCTGGGTTATAGGACTATTCTTTTGGACCTAAGGAAGTTGGTGTTTTTAGAACTTTAGTTTGGTTGCACGTGTAGAGTGAAGTCATGTACTCTAGTTGGAATCCTATCCCAGTAATCTGTGTACGAGAGGATTAGGACTAAATTGTTCTCTCTCTACCAAACACAGTTCATCCTCTGAAGGCCCTTGTCTACTCACCTTAACTGTCCCTTTATTCCATGTTTAATGTCTCCTTTGGGCTCACTCCATTCTCTTGCATTTTTTTTGTTTCTGAATCAGCCACTCCCTAGTGCTTTGAATTTTACTTCCTTTTCTTTTTGTTGTTTAGTTCTGAAGGTTATATATTTATAAAGTGCTAAATGTCATTGCCACTTTCCTTGCCCTGCTTTCACTGCAGCATATATTTTCCATTCCAACCAGACCAGTAAAGGAAATATATAGTTGGATTTAGTTCATACCAGGAAACTGGGTCTAAAACAAAAGGATTCATTGTATAATAGGGCATTTTGTGTAAAAGTCCAATTCCATTAGAAATGTACTGAAATTCATAAGATGTGGTTATTTTTCTCATTTCTAGAAGACTGGAAAGTTGATGACCTAATAGAGAGCAGCCAAGAAAATGAAGATGGACATTTTTGGCAATTTGCTCTCACCACCAACAAAACATTAAATATACATGGTGATAGAGTAAGGAAAACTTTCAATCTGGGTAAAGACTGTGTTTCTTTAAGAAATTTTTCATATAAGATATGTACCTCTTGTGAAATGAGTTTGAAGAATATTTCAGACTTAATTATTAGTAGACAGAACTATTCTGGTACAAAACCTGCTAAGTTTAATTTATATGAGAAATTGCTCCTTGATATTAGTCATGAGAAAACTACTGGAGGGAAATCATATAACTATGATCAAGAAAGGAATAACCTTAGTCATGGCCAGGATCTTACTCAGTTAATTTTTGACCAGCCTTCTGAGTATCATGAAAATGGACAAGGATTACAAGAAGAGGCTGCCTTTTTCTCAAACAAGATAGCTCAGATAGGAGAGACACTCTGTGAATATAATGAATGTCAAAGAACTTTCATCCAAAATTTAAAGCTCAGTTTATCTCAGAGAACTCATGTAGAAAGGGGCCCTTATGAATGCAGTATTTGTGGGAATTCCTTCTGTATGGATTTAACATTGGGACATCAGAGAGCTCTTACAGGGGAGAATCCTTATGAATATAATGCATATGATCAAATTTTCAGTGACAATTCAACTTTCATTATTCATCCAAGAACTTACACAGGGAAATTTTCCCATGAATATAAAGTAAGTCACAAAATGGGGGCAAAATCAGCCCTCTTTAAACATCAGAAAGTACATGTGGGAGCACTATCTTATGAGCACAAGAAGAATGGAAATAATTTCAACAAGAAGTCACATATCACACAACCTCGGAGAGCTCGCTCAGGAGAAAAAAGTTTTGAATGTGCTGAATGTGGAAAAACATTTTGGGAGAAGTCAAACCTCACTCAACATCAGAGAACACACACAGGAGAGAAACCCTATGAATGTGCTGAATGTGGGAAATCTTTTTGTCAGAAACCACACCTGACCAACCATCAACGAACACATACAGGAGAAAAACCTTATGAATGTAACCAGTGTGGAAAAACATTTTGTGTGAAGTCAAACCTCACTGAACATCACAGAACACACACAGGAGAGAAACCCTATGAATGTAACACATGTGGAAAATCCTTTTGTCACAGGTCAGCACTAACTGTACATCAGAGAACACATACAGGAGAGAAACCCTTCATATGTAATGAATGTGGGAAATCCTTTTGTGTGAAGTCAAACCTCATTGTACATCAAAGAACTCACACGGGAGAGAAACCGTATCAATGTAATGAATGTGAGAAAACCTTCTGTGAGAAATCAGCTCTTACTAAGCATCTCAGAACTCACACAGGGGAGAAACCTTATGAGTGTAATGGATGTGGGAAAACCTTTAGTCAGAGATCAGTACTCACTAAACATCAGAGAATTCACACAAGGGTGAAAGGTCTTTCAACATCCTGAATGCAGAAACCTTTGTCTACCCTTTCAAATTTATTATTCAGTTTTAAAAATAAGATTAATGAAACCCAAAGAACATCACAAGTTACTCAAAAGTTATGTCTTATTGCACTTCAGATAATTAACATGTTAAGTATCTAGCCTGTTTTGTCTTCCGGACATAAAGAATAGTGTCAGTCACTGGTGACTGGGCGCTTAACATATTAATATTAAAATAAGACCTTATTAATGTTTTAAATATCTGGAAGCTTTTAAGAAAAAATAAATTTTTGTTAAAAAAGTTGTACTGAGGAAAAATTTGTTCATTTAAGTTATGTGGTAAAAATATTTGTAGAGAATTAATGTTGTCTAGTATCATATTCCAAATGTGATACAATAATTTTATTGTAAATATAATGTGTGATACTCTCTTTTACTGATATTCACAGTATAATTTGAAGCTTAAAAAAATGTTGAATGACAGTAACATTAAACATTTATGTGAAGAATCCCTAACGTGTTCAGGTCTATGTAAGTATTCTAACATAATAGAAGTTTGAGGTATGCTCAATTTATACATTAGAGCCCAACATTAATTGTGAAGAGAAAATATGAACACTTAGTTAAACAACTATTGTGGTCTACACTAATATTTCCCACATTAAATACCACCAGTATCTTTGTAGGTTGACATAATTACATAAGTACATATAAATATATTTATACATACAAATAGTGATGTGCTAGAATTAGTTTAGACTGGCTTGGAAATACTGCTGATTTAAATTTTCAGGAATTTTGTGAGCCAGTTGTTAAACACAGTCATTTAAAAATTAAATTACATAAAATCATAATTACATAAAATTATGTTGAAAACAAAGGTAATAAATACTCAACACTCATTACTTCTTATTTTATAACTAGAGGCCTGGTCCACGAAATCCGTGCACGTGGGGTGGGGAGGGAGTGTTGTCGGGTCCTTCAATCTGACCTGCACCTTCTCCAATCTGGGACCCCTTGGGGGATGTCTACCTGTTTAGGCCTGAGTGGGATTAGGCCTAAACCTGCAGTTGGGCATCCCTCTCACAATCCAGGACCTCTGGCCTCTAACTGCTCACCGGCCTACCTGCCTAATTGCCCCTAACTGCTCTGTCTGGTCACCCCTAACTGCTCTCCTCTGCCAGCCTGATCCCCCTAACTACCTCTGCCTCGGCCCCCGCCAGCATGGCTTTGTCTGGAGGGGAGATCTAATTAGCATATTACCCTTTTATTAATATAGATATTTTGCTATTCTTTAAGTTACTTATATTATTGAGTCTGCATGGAGAAAATACTGAGTAATGGTGTGCAAATGCACATTTCTTTCCACTTCTACATTCAGTACCATCATGTTGGTAGCTTGGCTTTAGTGTATTTACACAATGGAAATTGGGAAACTACAAATTAGTTATTTTCTTAGATAACCTATTGTCAAGTCAGCACACCACTATGGATATAAGAAAATATATTTGAAAGAGTTAAAGTGAAAACAACATACTTTTTCTCATTTCCTGACATAAATACATGACTGTAGTCATTGCTGAACTGCCTCTTCAATAAAGATAAAATATGTTTCTATGAGGTTTTTAACCACCTCTGCATCATTTCTATCCTCAATACTACCAAGTCTCTTTAGAGTAGGCCAGTATATGTTATTTTATAGCCACTTCACCTACCTTTCCTCATCTATGAATGAGTATGGTCATTATTACTGAGCTACTACCATTAAAAAGCCAAATATTTTTCTGAGTTTTTTAAAGCAGCCTCTTGGTCAGTCAATACTGTAAATGCTGTTAATAGTGATACATAAATTCCACAAAGATTAATATTTGTTGTAAACAGTAATACTGTACTATACAAATAAAAAAATAGTGGTATGTAATGAAATACCTTTCATAATCTTGGTATTTCATTGCTGTATCTATTTAGGCTTGATATGTGTAACCTGAGTTGTATGTAATCTAGGAATTACATGTTTTTCATATTATAGAGTGTCATATACTGCCTCTTTTGCCTTTGTTCAATTGTTTCCTATGATTCCTTGAAACATGCTGATAAGCACTACAGAGACTCTATTTCTTACTTTTTGGGCTCTGTTTTGTCTTTTGTCTATCCCTCACCCAGATAATATAAGGGTAAATCCAGATCAGTCTGAGTTACTCATGGATATGATAATGATTTTGTTAGTGGATATGTGAGATATGAGATGTTTGGAAAATATTATGTAGTGCTTCTGGGAAAGATCTCAGCAATCAAATATTGTCATGACATGAGAAAGCATGAGAAGAGATTGTCACTATTGTAATGGACTTTTTCATATCTGTATGGTATATCAAATTATAGTTTATGGATCTAAAGGGCAATAGCCCAAAGATAACAGCACACGAGATGAGTAAACCCTGGCTTTAAGATATGCAACTCTATATGAGGACTAATATTACTGTGATAATAATGGTTTTCTCATTTATTATTAGGGCTATTCCTTAGAGCTGAAGGCATTCCCCCCAATAGAGATGAATTCTTTTCTAAGTGTTTATAGTCTATACAGTGAATTTTGGAGGAAATTATTTCTTTTTTTAAATATATTTTTTTATTGATTTCAAAGAAACATCAGTGATGAGAGAATCATTGATTGGCTGCTTCCTGCATGCCCTCTACTGGAGATCAAGCCCGCAATCCAAGCATGTGGCCTTGATTGGAATCAAACCCAGGACCCTTCAGTCCACAGGCTGATGCTCTATCCACTTACCAAACCAGCTAGGGCAAATTATTATTTTTTTTTTAAAGATATTTTTTATTGATTTCAGAGAGGAAGGAGAGGGAAAGATAGATGAGACAGATTTATGGTGAGAGAATTATTGATCAGCACACCTCACACAGGATTGAGCCCACAACCAGGGCGTGCGCCCTGACCAATAATCAAACTGAGACCTGTTTCATAAGTGGACGCTCAACCACTGAGCCATGCTGGTCTCACTGGGGAAGAATTCTTTCTTTTGTCAAATTAATATGGGGTAGGTCTTTGTGTCAGCATGGTTCTGGTGAAAAACAATTCTAGAAGATTTTAATAGCAGACTCACAGTGGACCACAAACAAGGGCTATTGAATCACCTAGAGTCTAGCATCCATAGAAAGCCTTCACTATTCTAAATCCTAAAGGGTCAAAGGATGAAAGCAAGTGTTACCAGAGTCCAGTGAGACTTGCTCTCATGGAAGGGCCACCTCCAGAATTGTGACACCAAGTTGCTGGTGTCTCCTTAGGGAGAACCTAAGCAGATGCCATCTGCAGATAAGCCCCAGAGGGCACAGAGAAGCCGGGTGGAGCCAATGGAGAACAAGCAGCTCAGTGTTTCTTAATTCTTGTAAATTCCTATGTAAAGACTCAGTATCAGAAATTTATTCTCCTAGTTGAGAGTTGTGTTTTTCCTTTGTTGTCACAGTAAATTCCTTTTGGAACTGAGTCCTGTGGTAGGTATGTCTCTCCTTTAATGTGAAGCAGACATGTATAATTGCATTATTCATATATCCGTCTGTAGTGTTTCTTGTTACATGTGGTGTGAGGTAAGCAGCTCTCTATTCTTCCAAATAAGCCAGTTGTTCCTGCAGTTTAATTCACCTTTATTCTTTCTGGTACAGCATTTTTATTACATCTTTGCTGGACATTTGAGCCTGTCCAAAACATCCATTGAGACATTGGTCCATGCCAAAAGGTCCTTGATATTTAGTCCTGTCCAAAATGCCCATTGAGACATTTGGCCCATGATTCATTAAATAATACATTTAAATTTGTTAAAATTTTTATTTTTATTATGATGAATTTGGGGTTTCATATTTATTCTTGTTTTTCTTTGCCATGGAGTTTGGCAGAGTTCCTCTGTAAAGTCCATGAGCAATCGCTCTAAAGAATATACCAACCAGCCTGGCTCAGTGGGTTGAGCACCGTCCCACGTACTAACAGGTTGCTGGTTCAATTCCTGGTCAGGGAGTATGCCTGGGTGTGGGCTCAATCCCTGGTAGTGCTGTGCAGGAGGCAACCAATCAATGATTCTTTATCATCAGTGTTTCTGTCCTCTCCCTCTGCCTTCCTCTTTCTGAAAAACCAATAAAAACATTTTTTAAAGGAATATATCAACCTGATTATTGATTTTATATTTGTTATATCTGCTAAGAATTTTGTTTATACAGATTTTATTTTGTTGGTATCATTGTTAAACTGGTGGCTATATTTGAGTGTGATCACCAAAAACCTGGCTGGTAACTTTATAGCTTTGCTGTTTATCTTTCAACACTTCAATAAACTCCAAAATGAAGGATAATACACTATCATCATCTTTGAAATTTGCTATGCCACCCTTCCACTGTGTGGTTTGTCCTATGATCAGCCTTCAGTACTGATCTGTATACATTCCAAGTTTCTATAGAATTCTTGGTTGGAGCTTCTGGTCTACTGCCTGTTACACCTTCCACAGAGGTACCCTCTCTCAACAAAATCTATTAGGTCATTAAACTTACTTCTGCATTCTCCACAATGTACTGAAGTTTTATTTACATTTCCTAAGGCACAAAGGGAAGTCCAGGCAACAAAGATGCAGTTACAGGAGTCACTTTTTATTGTCATTTACTTGCAAAATAAGTATCCTTTTCTGTACTTGCATTTGGTTGTAGTCAAACAGCATTTATGTTTGCAATCTCAAAATCCAGCATGCACAATGAAGGGTTAATGTGATTTCATTCCTGTGCAAATATATGTAAGCGACTTCTTGTCTTTTCTTTGTTAGGGCATGAATCAATGTCATAGTGGAACCCAATGCTACTCCATGCACAGTAAATAACTGTTGGTGCTGTCTTGAAGGTGCCATCATTGAATAATGTGATACTCACACTTGAATATTGTCCAAAATTGTGTAAATAAGAATTCTTTCATCATGACCACCAGAACTGTGCATAAGAAGTGGTTCTCTGGGTCTGGTCACTTTATACTCTTC